CTTGCTTTCCTTCTAATTTAAGCAGAACAACAACAACATAGGGTCTCTCCGTGTGGCCCTGGCTGTCCTGGAACTTGCTCTGTACACCAGGTTGGCCTGCAACTCACACAGATCAGCCTGCCTCTGCATTCAAGTGCTGGGATTAAAGGTGTGAGCCACAACCACCTGGCCTACCTTTTTCTTTTAAAATAGAAACAGTATCTCATTGAGTTGTTCAAATTGGCCTCTTGGGTTTAAGCAAACTTCCTGCTTCAGCCTCCCAAGAAACTAAGGCTATATGGAAAAGCCACTACACCCAACTATCATAGACTATTTTTTTCAGTTCATGCTAACTGTCTTCTCTAGCCAAACCTAACTTCTCATTTCCTGTGGTTGACCTTTCCTTCCTTCCTCCCCGAAGACAAGGTCTAACTGTGTGACTCTTGCTGGCTCTTACTGTATAGACGCGGCTGGCTCTTGCTGGAGTACTGGGATGAAGGGTCATGTGCCACCGCACCTAGCCTGCCGCACTTCCCTATGTAACTGAAAAATCAATCTACACCATGTCTGCCTGCAGGCCACCATTCCCACCAGGATGGTAATGGACTAAACCTCTGAACTGTGAGCCACCCCAATTAAACGTTTTCCTTTATAAGAATTGCCATGGTCATGGTGTCTCTTCACAGCAACAGAACCCTGACTAGAACAAGATGCAACAGCTACAGTTATTCCATGTGATTTAAAACTACTTATTCCATGTGTGTGCCACGTGACTGCATGAGGAAGTTAGAGGAGGACTTCTGGGAGCTGGCTCTCTACTAGGTAGGTACCTTCTGGGAACCAAACACAGCTCACCGGGTTTGCATCAAGCACCTTGACCCACTGAGCTGTCTTGTCAGCTCTAATCACTGTGGTTTTTTAAGCATTTTTCTTGATCTCACCCTATGTCCTGATCTTCTACTTAACTTAAATATCCTTGTTAGAATATTTCAAATGAAAGCACATGGAAACACACCTGTTCAAGAAAGTTGTTTCACCTCTAATACCCTTTCCATCTTCACAGGCATGATGCCCATGTGCCTAAATCATTACTCAGATTAAAAGATCATATTTGAACCCGAACTGACCTGGAACATCACAAAAAACACGTAGAAGAATGATTTTTTAAAAATGCCAATGGAGAGAAAAAGAATGAAAGGAAAAAAAAATCATCAAGTGAAAAGAGCCCCCCTCTCAACTTTAGAGATAGAGCACCTGCAATCCACACCTAAAAGCAAATTTTTATTACAGGATAAAAATCAAACTGACATATTAAGAATATATAGATTGCAAAAATATTTAAAAGGCTTAATATAGCCACTTTACAAATAAAACAAAGGCTTAAAAATAAATCTTGGGGTACTGGGGGGACAGTGTAACACCATGAGGACCGGAGTCCAGCTCCCCCCCCCAAAGCCCATCATATCTGTAACTCCCGCACTGAGGCGTGGACAGGCCAACTAGTCTAGCCAACTGATAAGCTGTTTCTGTGAGAAACCCTGTTTCAAAAAACAAATCACATCACTGGTTGTAGAACACGGAAAAGTCAGACAAGATCAGGTGCATTCACCATGTATTTCCGTAGACAGACATAAATCAATCAATCTGGAACTAAATTTTCATAGTGTGAAAGGTGTTGTGTAGGCCCCGGGGAGAGGACAGACATCAACGATCTTACCTAGCAATGCACCCTTCATGCTCCAATCAATACCCACCTGACAGGCAATATGTTCCCATTGGTGCCCCAGTGGAATGATAGTTACGGGGTAACAACTGGGGAGAATTCCTGCTTGGTACCTCCCAACCCATCTAACTCAAGTTCTTTCTCCTTTTCTCACTCTCTTAAAAACAAAACAACAAAGAAAATCAAAGCATAAAACCAGAAAGACAATTTAGTCAACACCGTGGCAGCAGTGGATACTGGGGGCTGGCTACTACTGTTGCTGTGCTTAAATGAACATGACATCAAAACTGTCTTCCTAAAAATGTATGTTTAGCCCACAGATCAGTGCCACTC